CGAGAAAACTCTCGTTATAATGAGAAAATTATGTTGTTAAAACGAGAAAACTCTCGTTATAACGAGAAAATTATGTCGTTAAAACAAGAAAACTCTCGTTATAACGAGAAAATTATGTTGTTAAACGAGAAAACTATCTCGTTTATAATGAGAAAATTATGTCGTTAAAACAAGAAAACTATCTTGTTTGTAATGAGAAAATTATGTCGTTAAAACGAGAAAACTCTCGTTATAATGAGAAAATTATGTTGTTAAAACTAGAAAACTATCCTGGTATATCAAGTTAACCATCTCATTATAACGTGTTATGATTTCTTCTGGTTTGTCACTTACACTGAAGTTTATTATCTGGATGGCGTGATGGAGAACACGACTGAACCACTAAAACAAAAACAAAGAATTATTTGGGTTTGTGCTCAGATGTTGCAGCTAGTAGCACTTAATAATATTCACTCTCTAATCTGAATTCAGACGGTATTATTTCACAAACATTATTCAGGACTAACTTGTCATTTTTTAGTCTAGAAATGTGATCCTCTTTCAGATTTCTTCTTCATAAAAAGGCGTRTAGTGACACTCAGTCGTGTTCTCCATCACACCATCCAGACAATAAACTTCAGTGAAAGTGACAAGAAACCACAACACGTTATAGCAAGATGTTTTCTCATTATAACGACATATTTTAGTTGTTATAACGACGTATTTTCTCGTTTTTATGAGCTAGTTTTCTCGTTATAACAAGATCCATTTTAAAACTGATTTCATGTCATGTGGCAGCTCTACACTTCCGTAAGCATTTACTTTATTTTACTGCTTTAAAAAGAATATTTACTGCTGCAGGTGATACGTCAGCTACTTTTAGTTCTTAGCTTGTTGTCACTTTTCGCTTTTAGCTCACCTTTTGCTACTTTTAGCTTTAAGCTAACATTTAGTGACCTTTAGCTTTTAACTCACCTATTGCTACTTTAAACTTTAAGGTAATATATTTGCTACATTTAGCTTCTAGCTTGACTTTTGCTAAATTTAGCCTTTAGCTTTCCTTTTGTTACCTTTAGCTGGCAGTTTGCTACTTTTAGCTAATGTTGTGCTTCTTTCTAATCCTTGTATTTCTACAGATGTTGTAGTTTTCTTGTTTTTTAAACTTGATTAAAACATTTTGAGATAAGTTTAGAAGATGATGTCATCGATGAAACTGGACTTTGATCTCACCGGCACCATGGAGTAGGTCATCATCATCATCATGTTCTCCTGAGCTTTGTGGAAGCGCTGATTGTTTTTGGCTTTGTGCTTCACCTCCTCCTGGCTGGTCTCCTGYTGGTGGGCCTTCTGCACCTCCTCCAGGTGACCCTGCTGCTTCAGGTCCTTCTCCWGATCTTCACTCCTCTTGTTTCTGGAGGTCTGGAACTGTGAGTCCTGGACCGGGCCGGCCCTCAGAGCCGCGGCCCCTCTGGGCAGCTCCTGGAGGAACTCCACCACCGAGCTCTGCTCCACCTCCGTCAGCCTCACCTCGGTCCTGTCCTGCCAGACCCGCTGCTGGTTCTGCTGGACCATGAGGACCAGGAGGCCCACAGAGTTCAGCAGAGCCACGAGGCAGGTCCCGTACAGAACCACCCTCTGGGGGAGCGTCATGCTGGTTGTGGGGATCCACATGGTCACCAGCTCACCTCCTCTCTTCTGGGGGTCCACAGCTGAGCTGAACATTCAGAGAAGGTCCAAAGTCCAGTTCAGAAGGTCCAACAGCTTTAGTTCCACCTGAGTCCAGAACCTGAACAGAACCTGAGTCCAGAACCTGAACAGAACCTGAAAGATCCAAACAAATCAGTTCGCTTCAGTTTCTGCTTCCCCCGGGTGGTCTCATCTGAAGACTAACTGCTACATGGTGCTGGAGAGAGGAGTGTGTGTGTGTGTGTGTGTGTGTGTGTGTGTGTGTGTGTGTGTGTGTGTGTGTGTGTGTAGGAGTGGGCATTACACAATCCTCTGTCTGGGAAGAAACCCCGGCCTGTTCAGTCACCTGATTTATATTCATCATAGACCATTCTACTGCACCGCCGTGGGCAGACTGACATCACACACACACACACACACACACAC